AGATGTGGTAGACTTAATTTATTCCACAGATAAATGAGGTAATTGATTTATTCCACAAATAAATTAGCTTTGTATAGAGACTGTATCACAAAACCACCAACATCTAATGTTCCTCGAATTAAATTCATGAAGTCATCACATCAGATAACATCTTTATAAAGAGTAGAATGGTTCCGGCTTTATTTCTTCCCTTATTCATTCCCTTTCTCGCTCTATCTCTAGAGAGAGGGCTGTTTATTTATTATTCATAAGCCAGGAGATGGCGGATTCTCCAGTATGTGCTGTGTTTATTTATGTGAAATGACTTATGTGATGTCTTGTTGTTCCCTCAGAGCTTTGGGGTGTAGCCAGAATATGGCCTGGGGTTATAGAAGAGGATGTGCATGCAATGAATAAACAGCTGATTGTAATGCATTGCATGGATGCACACATATGTTATAGATTTCCGTGGAGCGAGAAATGGACGAGATTAATTTATGCACACACACATTTAAGCGTCATCTCATATCGAATGAGTAGCTTTATTCGTTCATGACCAAAATGCTATAGGACAGATCACAGCACTGAACATTAGCTGGTATTATTGAGCAATGGGTTATTGTTTCTCCTGTAATATGAGGAAATGTGTGGTGTAAGTATAGCCTGTGCTCCTGAGTGGACATAGAGTCGTGAGGCTGAATGTTTTGCAGCTCGTTATACACCATCGTCAATGTCATCGCTAATGTAATTTGAAAATGGCACGGAAGCAATGCGAGATTAAATACTTTGCAGCACTCTACGTGTAGTTAACGGAAAATTGAGCACCGAATCGCATGGCCACTCAGCCAAATCTTTGTGTTGGCGGTGAATTGAAAATTGTTCGCCGGTTGTTGGGAGTCATCTGCACTCGTAACAATGACACTAATTAAACTAATGATGCCCTCCGCTGTTATTACCGCCATCATCAACACAATTATCATACAAGAGTACGAACTGGCTCTGTTAGGAAATATTTGAAATCAGGAGTTGATTAAATGTAATTCGTAGACAAGCTGACTGGATCCAAAGCCTTGTTTATGAGGCACAAATCTGTTCATCTATTTGTGCCAGTGGGAAATGCAGTCAGGCGCTCATGCGGTGAGGAGGTGGGCAGCTCTGAAACGTCTCGCAGATGCCAGAAAGCCCTGGAACAATGCAGCTGTGTCTGGGATGGCGAGTGTCCCTTGGAGAGCTGCTCGCTGTGGAGTCTGTCTCAAAATAATCTGCTCGCATCAGAGTCGCTTCAGAGTGTCCTGGAGGGAAAAAAATGGTTTGAGAGGAGACACTGGGTAGAAAGACAACCAGATTTAAAGGAAATGCACACACAAGGACACACTTGCAATGTATGAAATTCATTTTTGCATGGTGTGGAGGAGACACTTTTCTCTCAGCAGTGCTCCAAAGACAGGACTTTTCCCAGCAGGAGGACATTTGACCAAAATGACCTGAGCGTTCAGGAGGAACTGATCACTGCTGAATTTCAAGTGGTGTCTTTCAGACAGACTGCAGCGCTTTAAAAATGACCATGGAGGTATTAGATGACCTTGTTAGGGAGAGGAAATATCCCAAATATCACATTTGGCACTGGCCAATCATGTAATATTGAGATATTGGGAGCTCTTAGCACACCACGCTTAAACAAATAACCCCAAATGCTTCACTTACAGTATACTAATGAGTAAAGATTTACATTAATTTTCTTTTACTGCTATTATTTAACAGTAATATGCCACAAGTAACACTTATATTAGTTGATACTTTTTTAAATAAATAAATAAATAAATAAACCAAAGAAGCCAAATAATCATCACCTGCATTAACCAATGCTTATATCCATCCATCCATCTTCTACCGCTTACTCCTTTTCAGGGTCACGGGGGAACCTGGAGCCTATCCCAGGGAGCATCGGGCACAAGGCGGGGTACGCCCTGGACAGGGTGCTAATCCATCACAAGGCACAATCACATACACGCTCACACATCCTTTCATACACTACGGACACTTTAGACCCAATGCTTATATCATAAATGAATAAAATGGAGTCCACAATGACCAGCACGAACAACACCTTCATGAACATGTTTACGGGTTTTAATTGGAGACCAGAATTCAGTAACTTATCAACATTTAGTAGCATGCTTTGTGCTATAATAAATATCCCTTTATAATTAACGAGCTCAGTCTAATATGTTACTGTTTCTATAGTCACATAGTCATTACTGCTACACTGCTGTTGCTGCTACTGGTTGCCATAAACACTACTGCAATTTTTTGCTCATCTACTCATTGGCCAATTTGCACCGATTCAATATTAATTACAAATCTCATTCATGCACATTTTTATTTTCTTTACAGGGCCAATTTACCACCAACACTGTTGTGTGGCTGTCACCTATTAAACGTTATGAAGGTGAGGACGGATGCAGGTGCAGTTAAAGACTTTTATTTGAGAGGGTCAGGCAGACAAATCCAAATCATGAGACAATAGCGTGGTCGAAATAACAGGAAATGGGTCAGGCGATCTACAAGCAGGCATAAACTGGTCAGAATCAGAAACGAAAAATCAAGGGCAGTAAACATGAATCAAAAACAAGAAACAAGAAACAACCACTTGGTAAGGAGATAACACACAATGGAGAGGTATAAAGAGACACGAGGGGTTTAAATGACAAACGTAATCAGGGGTGAAACACAAGACAGCTGAAAACAACGGTAACACACCTACTGGGAAACGACCAATGACAAGACAGGGGCGGAGAAAGGACCAAAACCATAACAAAAGCACATGTCCAAAGTAAACAAAGTCCGTGTCACAGAAAACCCGAAAGCATGTGTTCGTTACTCGCGCATCGGCTAGCACTTCGGGTCTCCGAGCATGCTGCATGCTACAGCGCTAGCTCGAGGGGGGATCGTGACAGTGGCAATTAAAAGTCTTGTAGTCTTGTATTCTTGTAACAGGTGATTCACAGGGACATAGTGGGACATGCAGGGCTAAGGTGAAGTTTTCTGTGAGGTGACATTTATTTAACAATTACGGAAGGAATGTTCATGTATGACAACAGCCTAGGACAGTACCCCTCCCCACCAGTGGGATCACTGACACCAGAGGTCTAATCAGTTATTTCCTGTTTATGTCAGTTTCTCTCTGCAGTATATATACATGCATTATCTGCATATGTGCAGTTAATCATTGCGAAGTCTTGCCAATCTCATGTTATATAAGTACAGAGCCATGCTACACCTGTTTGCCTAATCTGTGTTTTGAACATTTTTCTAACTGACTCCTCTTGGGATTACTCTCTTGGTTTGATGATTTATAAGGTGTTAATAAAATTTTTTTTGTTTGTTTGGGGTTTTTTCTTTTCACCATTACTGTGTTTGACCTACTGTATCTAACAACTCTATAATGACCTATCTAACGGATCTTTACTTCTCTACCTAGTCTTGTCCATTACATCAGGAAAGAAGACATTTCACTTTGTGGTTTCTCTATATCATGACAAGCTACATTTTTTATTTTTTGTCTTATTAATTTCAAACTGAGAGAGAGAGAGAGAGAGAGAGAGTGAGAGAGAGAGAGAGAGAGAGAGTGAGAGAGATAGTGAGAGAGAGAGAGAGAGAGAGAGAGAGAGAAAGAGAGAGAGAGGCTGGTGAGGGAACAACTGTTTATAGATGCTATAACTTGTTGCAGGAACTTGTTTCATGCATATTAAATGTTAACTATAAATGTGTAAAATGATTTGTGTTAATGTGGAAGGTGGAACGTTGATTATTTTCCTAAAACTGCACACCCCATCATGTTTCATTACTTACTTGATGCAACAGTTAATGGTTTGTTAATGTTAACTAATGCAGTAACTGATGTTAGTTAAGGGAACGTCAATGTAAAGCATTTATGTAGTAAAAAACAGACATCAGACAGGCAGACAGAAGTTGTCTAATTCGCCTCGACCCCTTTATGAATCTCAAAGTGATCAATTATTTATATTGATACCTTTATTGGGCTTTCAAAGACTAGCTGTTCATCAATATTCATAGGGTATAAAAGCATTTAGCTAACAGGAAGAAAACTACAGCTAATCTGAAACATCCTGACCTCGGACCTCTTTGTGTTAATGGCTCAGTTTGTCCAGCAGTTGTCATTTCTTTCACTTTGTCTATGGGATCATTCTGAGAGCAACCATGTGCCACGGACTGATGCGAAAATGTCGTGATGTGCCTCAGGCAGATCTTAGATTCAGCATGATGAGCTAGTGTCCCTCTGGAGGACATTCCATGACACTTTGTCTTTTCGAATTCTTGTTTGAAGGGAATGGTATTTAGTGCAGTTATACACACACACACACACACACACACAAAAACTAGACTGTAGAATAACTGAACCCAGTGTTAGATTCACTTGAGAAATCCATCTGTTCCACAGGACATCCTGAAATAGTTTGAAGGGGAGAGTATTCCCTTTGATGAATTTCTGCATGAGGTATTTTGATTTATTTATCTGACCTGTGTTTCATGTGTTCTGTACGCTACAGGTATTGGTATCTAAATTTATTATAAAAACATTATATCTCTGTGTAACGCATGACTTTTCAAGTTCAAGTCAAGTCAGCATGTCTATGTTGGCCCCACATGGGTTCCAAATAATCTTGGAGCTGGGGTCCATCAAATATTGTCTGCAGTTTCCACTTGGGCCTCATATACGAGCTAATAATTCCCATGTAGGCAAACAGGGTGGCCCCAGATAGGTGAAATAGATGAGAAAGAAACATTGATCCATCGAGGGTCTTTCATCCTGGGCTTCATCCTGTCCGCCTCCTTTTGGCTGCTCCCGTTTCAGTTTCACCACAACGGACCGCCATCCACATATCGATCCTCGCATAAGTTATACTCTGGATGCCTTTCCTGACACAAACCTCCCCATTTCCCAGGCTTGGGACCAGTGCACTGACTTGAGCAACCTTCCAGTGGCTGGGACCCTCCAGTTCCACTGACCGGGAATCAAACCCGGACCACGGCGATGAGAGGGCTGGCTGCATGCTGACCACTAGTCCATCAGGGAACCTCTGCATGCACAGAAGAAAGGAACCATAATAAAGAGAACTTTTCTTAAAAATGAATAAACAACAGTGACTCTTGAGGGTCCTGGGTTTGACTGTTCTCTCTTTTTTAAAAATGGGTTTTTTTTCAAGAACATGCTGTGTGCGTTGTGTGTGTGTGTGTGTGTGTGTGTGTGTGTGTGTGTGTATGTGTGTGTGTGTGTGTGTGTGTGTGTGCATAGTACCCTGCGTCCCATCTGGGGTGAAATCTCCTACTACGTCCTCAGTGTTCCCAGGACAGAAGAATAATAGTAATAACTATCCATCCATCCATCTTCTATACTGCTTTATCTTTTTCAGGGTCAAGGGGATCCTGGAGCCTATCCCAGGGAGCATCGGGCTGGGGGCGATGCGGGGTACACCCTGGACAGGGTGCCAATCCATCACACTCACACAATCACATACACACTCACACACCCATTCATACACTACGGACAATTTAGACACGCCAGTCCGCCTACCATGCATGTCTTTGGACTGGGGGAGGAAACCGGAGTGCCCCAGAGGAATCACGCAAACTCCGCACACACAGGGCCACCGTGGGACTCGAACCCCCGACCCTGTAGGTGTGCGCCCCAGTAATAATACCAATGTCTGTACTGTCATTATTATTATTAGGCTTATAACACATAGACAGCTAAATAGATTTTTATGAACTGGAACTAGTGCTGGTGTAAGTGTAACCGTTGTTTACTGTGGGGACTTTCCGCGTGCAGGAACGGATGTGACAGAGATGAAGCACGAGAGAGAGAGTGAGAGTGAGAGAGAGAGAGAGAGAGAGAGAGAGAGAGAGAGAGAGAGAGAGAGGTTATATGCTTCTTTGTAAATGTTTTTTTTTTCTTTAAATACACAGTAAATTCGAGCAAATGTGCTGACTGTGCTACTCTGTTGCTGAACGGAGTCCCTGCAAGTAAAGGGTAAAGAGCTTGTTATTTCCTGGTGGGGAAACCCACACTAAAATTTACCCGGAAAAAAAAAACCCTAGATGACGTCAGCGGTTTCCCGCAGCCCCCGTGTTTCGATCAGTCATATTAGAAAGCACGGGTCTTGGTAAAGATCTCGCATTTAGTGAACGGAATGGCATTGGCTCCTCTCGTGCCCAGCTCTCCTGGAGAGAACGAGTACCCGTCCGGTTTCCCGCAGAGCATCTGTGATGAAGTTCCGGCTCCGAAGTACCTGTGCAGCCACTGCGACTGCGTGCTCAACGGCGCGCACCAGAGCGCGTGCGGCCACCGCTACTGCCTCGCGTGCATCCACTGGCTCATCAGGTAAGCGCGAGCGCACCGTCAGGGCCTATGCGCATGACTTAACGAGCACAACAGAAGCACATCCAAAAACAAACCATCCTATTGTATATTCTTCTCGGACCTCTTTTTCATCCTTACGCTTATAATAATAATAATAATAATAATAATAATAAATAAAGTTAGTTATTCTGTTCTGACTCATTTGGAAGTGTACTGAGGGAGTAAGTGTAGTGTGCTTCAGTAATAATAGTACAGTAGACTAGGAGGAAAAAGCCTGGTACACAAAGTTCTAGAACAGAAAGAAGTGAATTATTTATAATTGCGCCATCCGGTGTCACACAGACTTTTGAGTCTGAGGGTTTGTTCTTCATCCGGCTCTTCTCAGGGAGTTTTTCCTTTGCCACGCTCGTTAAGGATACACTTATGAATTGTACTTTTATATATGACTACGTTCACATGGACAGCAATAATCTAATTATTGCCCTTACTCTGATTAAGGCAATAATGTGATTAAGGTGTTTACATGAGTCTCTTTTAGAATACTCCTGTCATGTTCCTGTTTTACATGTTATAGATCATAATTAGATTAAGATTAAAGCCTGCGTCATTACGTCACCGCGCCACGCCGTTTGACGTCACTCCAAAAATTCACGTATCAACATACAGTTCGGTCATTATGGGACCGTATGCAGTTTCGGGTGTTTTTGTTTAATTTTCTTACGAACGCTTTAAGTGCAGTTAATTATTTGTCATGCTGTACGTGCTAACAGACTGCTTGAAGCCGTGGGGTGCGTCTCAAATCGCACTTACCTACTGTATAGTAGCCGAGATACATGTATTTTTCCACACTACAGGCCTATAGTAGGCAAGTATGCAGTTTGGGACACAGCCGAACTCTCTTGTTCACCGTAAAACGTAAAACTGCCGTGTGTGATCGTGTCCTGTCGCAAAACACGGTGAAAACTCTCACACAAGGTTCATAATGTGATTAAGGTGTTTACATGTCTGTAATGCACGTCCATAATACGATTAAAACAGGAGTAATCCACCTGTCTTAATTCGATTAGAGATTACTTAGATTATGACCTTAATTAGATTAAGGTTGGTGTTTACATGGTAGTTTCTTAATCAAAGTATGGTCTTAATTAGATTAAGAATGGATTATTGTTGTCCATGTAAACGCAGTCAATGATGTAGTTCTGTAGAGCGAAACATGAAATTGAATTGAGTCACACCTCCGGCATCGTGGGTTCGATTCCCGCTGCTGCCCCGTGTGTGCGGAGTTCGCATGTTCTCCTTGTGTTTTTGGGGTTTCCTCCGGGTACTCCGGTTTCCTCCCCCAGTCCAAAGCCACGCATGGTAGGCATGTCCAAAGTGTCCGTAGTGTATGAATGGGTGTGCGAATGTGTACACGTGCATCTGAAAATAGTTGAATATCGTAGAAAAGTAAAATTTTTTCCGTAATTTAATAAAAAAAAAAATGGAACTTTCATATATTCTAGATTCGTTACACATGACGTGAAATATTTCAAGGCTTTTTTTGGTTTGTTTGTTTTAATCTTGATGATTGTGGCTTTCACCTCGTGTAAATCACAAATCCAAGAAAGAATTTATAATACAGAAGCGTCGACCTTCTGAAAAATATGTTAATTTATGCATTCAGTGCTCGGTCGGGGCTTTAATCTTTTGCATGAATTTACTGCATCGATGCAGCGTGGCATGGAGGCAATCAGCCTGTGGCACTGCTTGAGGTGTTCTGTAAGCCCAGGTTGCTTTGATAGCGGCCTTCAGCTTGTCTGTATTGTTGTGTCTGGTGTCTCTCGTAGATTCTCTGTGGGGTTCAGGTCAGGTGAGTCAGCTGGCCAATCAAGCACAGTAATACCATGTGCAGCAATCCAGTTACTAGTAGTTTTGGCACTGTGGGCAGGTGCCAAGTCCTGCAGGAAAAGGAAATCAGCGTCTCCATAAAGCTTGTCAGCAGATAGAAGCGTGAAGTTCTCTAAAATCTCCTGGTAGACGCTGCATGAACTCTCGACTTGAGAAAACACAGTGGACCGACACCAGCAGATGACATGTCCCCCCAAATCATCACTGACTGTGGAAACTTCACACTGGACTTCAAGCAGCTTGGATTCTGTGTCCCTCCACTCTTCCTCCAGACTCTGGGACCTTGATTTCCAAATGAAATGCAATATTTACTTTCATCTGAAAAGAAGACTTTGGACTACTAAGCAATGGTGTTTTTAGGTAGAAGGTGTTTTGAGTTAATTCGCTGATTAGAGCTATTTCGGTATTCTAAATTCTTTATTCGAATATTGTTGAGATTTTTGATTTTCAAATCTGTAAGCTGTGAGCCGTAATCATCAAGAATCAAACAAAAACAAAAAAAAGGCTTGAAATATTTCACTTTATGTGTAACGAATTTAGACTATATGAAAGTTCCGCTTTTTGAATGAAATTACAGAAAAAAATTTACTTTTCCACGACATACTACTTTTTTGTATATGATTGGGCCGTGTGATGGCCACTCCTCCCCGTGACCCTGTAGGATAAGTGGTATAGAAAATGGATGGATAGATGAAAGTTCGTTTAGCAGGTTTAGGCCAAAAGTCAAGCAAGCTTCTGACGGTGTAGGAGGTGAAACCAGTAGATAGTCAAGATGGGAAACAGATATCTGTCACACCCTACACCTTAAAAAATAAATTCATAATGTAACAAACTTACAAACATCAGAGACCATTAAAAGCGCGTGAAATATCCTGGAGATAATCAAAATGCTGCCATGTACACTGCAACATATCCACAGCAGTACTCTCAGTAGCAGCTGTGATTTCACATGTGAAACATCAACAACAGAGTTTAGAGAAGTTGCGCTTAGGTCATTAGAACAAACTAAAATAAAAGTGAAAATGCATGTGGTATATAGTAAAAAAAAAAAACAGAAAGAAAGAAATGGTACTGTGGGTGATCCTCCAACATGTACTGAACTATTTCAACCACTACTGTTTCTGTTTCATTGTGTAACCTCAGGGTAATACATGTTCAACTACACCATCACATTCCCCTCAAGTCATCACATATTATCCATGTAGTCACATGTGAGAAAGTTAGGATCACGTAATCCGTCATGGAAATGTGACGGTGCGCATCACGTACACTGTGTGGACTGTTGTTATGTTCATGAATAATTTTTGCTAGGTGTTCCAGTCGAATTAACTGAAAACAGCAACCCCTGAAGTGACCTTGACAATAATATATAACTTATATGTAATATGAAAAGGCTTTTGCTACTTGAGTAACAACAAAAACGATTAAAAAAAATCAGTGGGTATGAAAATGAAAACTTATTGGATTTATGTGGGGACTGCGTCGAAAAAAGTACCATTGCTTTGGGAAACCTTTAAAGGTGCTATACAGAAAATGACCAAAAAAAAAAGTTTCCAAGTAGAATTTCATTAAACTAGAATTTCATTCAACTTCCAGAGAACATAAAAATCACCTTTTTGTTTCCAGAGTGTACATTGACATCTTTTTGTATTCATGCTTCATTGTAATGTTTTGTTTAAGTGTTGTTTATTTATTTGTTTGTTTGTTTGTTTATGTGATTTTGTGTTTTGCCTGTTTGCCTCACATCTCCAGGGTTGGGGGTTTGATTCCCGTCTCCACCCTGTGTGTTTGGAGTTTTGCGTGTTCTCCCCGTGCTTTGGGGGTTTCCT